AGATAAGGTCTTAAATGTTAGTATTTAGTTATTACGTCTATTTTCTGGACAGTCATTAAAATAGACGGTATTTTGTAAGTTCGGAAAGTTAGACGAGGAAACTTTTGTCTCGCTCATATTTTTTTTCTCCTCTGATTTTCTTTGATCTTAAAAAAAACCAAGGACAATTTTAGAAGGTTTATATTTATTGCTTAAATACTTGAGAAAACTAATCACATTTTAAGGGGGCACAACCACATAAAAAAAAAAAAAACTTTTATTTTTGATAGTTAGATAGTTTTTTCTGTATATTAAGTAAATTCATAACAAAAGTAAGATAAAAATTTAAAAATAAAAAATAAAAAATGAAGAGTTGCCCTGAGAACCGATTTTCAAAGGGTAAAAGCTTAAAAATTGTCCATTTTTGTGGCAAAAATATTTCAAAATGCAGGAGATCATATAAAATAAAACTTTGTATATAACTAGCTTGATGTTAGAAGTATGCAATGAGCCTCAAAAACTTGTAACTTACTCATTCCTTAGGCTCGTGCTTTATTTTTTAAAGGATGCAAAAAAAAATACTTTTTTTAACCCCCCATAATGACTGAAAAATTGTTATATTTTTGCATATATATATATATATATATATATATATATATATATATATATATATATATATATATATATATATATATATATATATATATATATATATATATATATATATATATATATATATATATATATATATCAGTATGCAAAATCAGTAAGTCAACTAGAAGAACCTCGTGATTTCTCAGCGTTATGTCTGTTATACAAACAAAAAGCTATTTGCAAAAACAAAAATCTAAAATAAACTTTAAAATAGTGCTATTAAAGGGGAAAAAAACTACTCAAAAACGGTCACTATGTGGATTGCTAGGGGAGTTAAAATAGAAGTAATCTAAATAAATGAAATTTTGACCGATTTTAGTATCTAAAATTGGTCAAAATTTCATTTATTTATATATTACTGTTAAAATAGATCTAAAATAAATTAGTATTTGAAAAAAATAAATATCACCAACCGTTTTTTTTTGATAAATTTGAGTTAAGTTAAGTGTATTTTTGAAAATATAATTTTTAAAAATTTAACATTTTTTAATGGGGTTGTGCCCCCTTAAGTTAAAATTTTATTCTTCGCAGTTGTCACAAAAAAATGGTTTTATGTTGATTAATTGTTTACTTAGTATTATTTATTTTTTTTTTTAAAAAAAAAAAAAAAAAAGCGCTTTAGTACCATCCTCACTTCTCTTTTAGTGATTTCCAAACTTTGCTCAAAAAAGTCAGAAAAATTATCGTCTTTCATTGAAAGAGTTTGAAGTGACACAAACCAAAATCTAAAAAATATATTTTTTGAAATAAAAACTTTTGATTAATATGCAGTTCAAAAAGATTTTGTAGCTCTGTAGATTCCAGTCTCCAACAATTTTATAGCTCTGTAGATTTGAGTGTTTTGTAGCTCTTTAGATTCCAGTGTTTTTCTGATAATTTAGAATTTGTAGCTCACGAGTGTATCAGGGTGTCAAAAACAACAAAAAATAATTCTTCTTTATGAAAAATTTGATGTTTGAGTTACCTTTTGTCGTCTATGTAAAATAAAAAGTTATTGTCGTCTAGCGGCTGTTAATAAAAAACAATTGTGGTAGTCTATTGACTATTCATAAGTAACTGTCTCTATCTCTTTAGCTTTGTATAAAACCATTAATATTGATAAAGATTCTAATCTTTGATTTGATGTCATTAAACATGATTGAAAGTCTTTTTACTAAACTAAAAGTTTAGAGGTTAAATTCTTTATCAATTGAAAATAACCATAAAACCGACGTAATCTAATACTATTGTTTAAAGTTAGATTTTTACTGAACAGCGCAAAAAGCGAAATTAAGTGTTTATAAAAATACATAAAACAGGTAAACTAACAACAAAATATTTTGTTCTCTTATTTGCCTTACGGAGACTGTACGCAAGTTAGCAGAGTGGATTTTGGACTAGAACACCAATCAGATTTGATAAACTGTTACTGGAGACTATTTTACTGATAAAGGTTATTAGTTTAAATTAGCTACAACTTCTAAATGCTAAAACAGTTTCTAAAGAATTCTTAAATCTATTGTTAAATTTTATTGAAGAAAATACACAAGTATTTCTTAAAATTTAATCTACCACAAGTAGGCATGGGTTGTCTAAATTTTTGGTGTTTATTTGTCTACTGTTCTAACCCAGTAATACTTGTCATGATCTTTTATTTCAAAATATGAGTATGAAGTATTTTACAAAGTAAAATACTTCATACTCATTTTCATTTTCTTAAATATAATATTAAGTATTATATCTGCTCTGCAAATATTTTAACAAGCTGCATTCTGCATTCTTTCAAAAGGTAAATCACGACAACTTATAATGAACATTTTTGTTTGGAGGCAAAGGAGAACAAAGGAGAACAAAGGAGAGCATTTTTAAAATTAATCAGGATCAAAAAATAGATAAAATACTTTAATCTTACCTTATTCCAGGAATAGATTAATAGTTTTATTTACACTTTAAATCAAAATTTACAAACTAATTTTTGTCCGATCTAACTTTTTTTATTATATTCTCTTTTTTTATATAGTGTTCCTTAAACATGTTTTTAACTTAACTCAAAACCATATATAAAGTATACATTCACCACTGTATCACAAGCAAGATTTTTTATTATATAGTTTTTTTAACTAATTTTTACTATAACTCAAAACCATGTCGTTGGGGATAGTGCAAAACTGCGTAACTGGAATTGGATAACACCGCGTTTCTGCATTAAAAATTTTTTACTGGAGAAGGTTAAAACTTTATATATTTTTTACTTCAACAGATTTTGAACTCATTTTAGTATAAAAAGTATTATTCATGTTTTTTGTAATGTCAACATTAATAATATCGAATTACATTGGTCAATGTTAGTTACGCGGTTTCGCACTATCCCCTACGATATATCAAGTGTACATTCACCACTATATCACAAACAAGATTTTTCAACTGTTTAAGACCAATAGCACAATAACACTTTACATCTTCAAGTTTCCTAAGCACTAATCTAAGATTTGGATATTTTTCATGAAAATAATTAATAATAGGTATTATAAATTAATTTGAAACTACGCTATACTTTTAGTATTAATAAATATCAGCTTTTTTGTTTCAAAAACATTCATAACAATTTTAAGAAAACCTCCTCCACGACTTAAAAAACCTCTTACCAAACCTACACATGGTTTATACCTAATTAACAAAAATATCTGATGAGAACATCATTCTTATAAAAAACAAGTTTAACTTGTTCGACATTATTTATATAATTTTTCTTTTAAATTATTTGACTTTAAAAATATATATATATTTTCTATTCGATCCTATTCTAGTTAAAAAACAATTTAATTTTTCATCGCTGAAACTCAATTCGACGACTGTTTAAAGAGCCGACTTTTACTACACATATTGAAATCTATACCTTAATCTCTGGTATGTTTTTTAACTTTCAACTTTACAAACAATCACGGACTATATACAAATCTATAGGTGTTTTTATTTGTTATAAAACATTTTTCTTTGGTGGGAACACCAAACAAAAATAAAAATTTTCTCTCCCAACAACAGCAATGATTTATCTCGTAGTCTATATTGTAAAATATATACTTTATATTAATTTATTTTGTTTTAATAAAGATATAAAAAATGTATAGGATTTAAACATTTTTTGAGTGCAAGCATTACCTCCACCATACTTCTCTTATTGAAGAAAATAACAAAAAAAAAAAACCCATAAATTACCAGATCATAAAGTGCATCAGTCGTGAATTCATTGACGCAGGAGTTGAAGCATCCACCGCTACCTTCACAGCTACCTTCACCGCTACCTTCGCTCAACTTGCCTTAAATGTTTTAAAATGTTTTCAAATAAAATTGTAATTATAGTATGATAGGTTAACAAAAACAAAATGCGCAACTTTTTTGCCTTTAGCATAATGAATGAACTAGAGTTAAAGTTGCAACCGTCTTTAATTACAAAACATTTTTTTCTTTAGCGTTTCTGTTGCTTTTCTTAATTTAAAGAAAAGCAACAGAAACGCTAAAGAAAAAAATGTTTTGTAATTAAAGACGGTTGCAACTTTAACTCTAGCTCATTCATTATGCTAAAGGCAAAAAAGTTGCGCATTTTGTTTTTGTTAACCTATCATACTATAATTACAATTTTATTTGAAAACATTTTAAAACATTTAAGGCAAGTTGAGCGAAGGTAGCGGTGAAGGTAGCTGTGAAGGTAGCGGTGAATGCCTCAACTCCTGCGTCAATGAATTCACGACTGATGCACTTTATGATCTGGTAAATTATGGGTTTTTTTTTTTGTAATAGTATTTCATTATAACAAAGACACAAATACTTATAAAGTTGAATTTTTTGGATTATGCGATGTGTGTTACAATTGCCGACACATCCGCCTCTACGATTATAATAACTTTTTCACCATTAAAGTTCTGCATTAACACTCTCATTAATAATATAACAATCAAGTATTTTTATAGAATAAAAATTTTAATTCAGACGCCTACTACTAACCTACTAAAAGTATTATTAACCTTCTAGAAGTATTATAAGTATTAAGTATATAAAATTTATACCAATTTTAAAGTTTAAGTAGGTATAAATTTTGCTTTGAAGAAGCACGTTATGAAAGGGGATAATATTTATAATAATAGTCATCACATATAAGAAGTTTGAAAATATCTCTTATTTGGGTGATAATTTCTGTCAGCGACTTATATCTGGCACTTTTTTTAGTAAACGAAAATCAAAATAGTGTTGTTACTATTTTAATTTTCGCTTAACTGCAACAATTCTAATTACAATCAAACTTTAACATTATTATGTTTTTTTCTCATCAGACTTTTCAGAAATATAATGTATATTTACTTCCGATGTTAAAAAATGTATATAAAACTTACTTTTAAAGGTGTTTCTTTTCTACAGAGGTGACAAGTCAAGGTTGTTGATCGTGGATTTATAGTATACTCAATACATCTTCTACAAAATGAATGTAAACATGGTAAAAGTCTTGGGTCATTAAAGATTTCTCCACATAATGAGCAAGTTATATCTTCTTCGGGTATGTTCTGAATGCGAACTTTGTCAGAACCTTCTTTCCGCGTTGTATTTGCTTGATCGACCTGAAATTCGCTAGAGACCCCCAGGCTTTGTTTGTGTTGATCAGCTACTTGTGTTGTTTGGCTGCGTATGACATTGGGAACATTTCTGAACCAATCCATATGCATGAATTTGTTCAAAGTGTAACTAAACCAATATAAAAAGTATTCAATGTTGCATTAAAAAACTTAAAATTCAATATATTTATTTAACGCATCTTTTAGTTAATATATAGTTCTAGTAATTATGTCTATAGTTTTTTCAGATTCAAACAATTCAACCTTTAGATCAAATAAACGACGAGTTTAGACTGCTTTAGATTCTTATTTTAAAGTATTTTTAAATTATTTATGGGTGAATTACACATTGTTATTATTTTTTTAATCTATATATACTTGTGTTTAACCATCTGCTTTTTCTTTGACTTAAAAAAACTATTTGTTGTTAATTATGCAAAGAAAAGTCTGGCAGAAAGAAATTTTCGTTGTTAATTATGCAAGAATGTTGATTAACTTTGCGTCTTTGTTAAAATTTCAAAGCCATTTATATATTTTTTTATTTTCTATTTTATTACTTACGATATAAAAGTTAAGCCGAATAAAAAAATGACGATGAATATAGCGTGCAATAAAACTAAAAACTAAAAATTTTTTTTTTTTTTAATTTAACAAAAATCTTATTTTTGCGCTATATATTTTTTTAAAAATGTATTATAAGATTAGTATTAACAATGCCCACAACATAAATAATAAAAAGTAATTAGTATAATTTAATAAGAAATGTTATTATAAATTTTAATAATAAATTATGTTTTAATTATACATTTTAATTAATACTTTATATAGACGTAATAACGACCGTAACGAGCTTTTTTTTGGAAACCTTATAAAATTTATATGCGTAAAATAAACTCTATTTTGGTACACTCTAATTCTATAATTATATTATAACTTTTATGTAATTATATTACATTTTAAAATGAAGTTATTTGTAATAATATATATATATATATATATATATATATATATATATATATATATATATATATATATATATATATATATATATATATACATATATATATATATATATATATATATATATATATATATATATATATATATATATATATATATATATATATATATATATTCATATATATATATATATATATATATACATATATATATATATATATATATATATATATATATATATATATATATATATATATACATATATATATATATATATATATGTATATATATATATATATATATATATGTATATATATATATATATATATATGTATATATATATATATACATATATATATATATATATATATATATATATATATATATATATATATATATATATATATATATATATATATATATATATATATATATTAGGGTGTTTCAAAAATAGGTCATGTCTGAAAAAAAAAAAGAGCCCTAGCTTATCATCTGCCCAGACCATGATTTAGTACTAAAAATTTTTTTTTTTTTTTTTTTTTGAAAACTCTAAGGGTTCCTTCAGGGGGTAAAAGGGGCAATTTTTAGGGCATTTCGTACCATTTTTAAAACTGTTTGTAGGAAGTCTTGACATTAATTTTTTTTTTTTTTAATATATATTTATGTTTGTAAAGACTTATTTAATCCAAATAACATGGGCTCTATTCTCAAAAAAATATTAAAAATTTATAAAAATTGCTTCAAAAAACCCTAAAATTCATAAATATTTAACAAAAAAAAAACATTTTTACATTGAACATAGTTTTACATTTTTAAAATGAAGATTTAAATTTTTTCAGTAATTAATATGTTTTCTTGAAATGTATTTTACATTAAATTTTTATTTTTAGATTATACATTCAAAAAATTAATAAAATGACACCAAAAAAAAAAGTTAGAAGTATTAGATTGGATAAAATATTTTTAGTTAAAAAGTTAATCGAAAAACTTCCAGCTAAAAAATTTGCAACTGCTAAAGAGATAGTTCAATATTATCTCTTTCTACGAAAGTCAAAGAGTGAAGCAAAACTGAGGTTCCTCGTAGGTTGTCCGAATAAAAGTTCTTCTTTTATACCTAATTGTCCAGTTGATCAGTCTGACTGCTGCATACTGTCCAAACTAATGGTTCCTTGGATACTTGGTGGATTTAGAGTGCTTACAATACAAAAGTTAAGGTAATCTTTTCAATAAGTTCTAAATCATTTTAGTCCATGTTTAATCCATAATTATATTATTATATAATATTTTTACAGGATTAAAATTGAGAAATTGTTGAAGGAATGGATGAAATTAAAAGATCAAAGATACAGAACAAATCCTGCTGAAATAAAAATAAGACATTTATTTGAAGAGCAAATGAGTAAAGTATTTTGGATTGGAAAACATCCTAATGTTATGTTTGAGGAAATATTAAAAGATAAAATGAGAAAATTGAAAGAAAAGAAAGTCTTGGAGGTAGAGATAAAAGATATGAATATTCTGTAATCAGAAGTAAAAGAAGCACATCAAAGTTCAGTAAAAATCCGTCAGTAGAATTAAATAAGAATGATTCAGATTATCTAAGTTCTGCTAGTTATACTAGCGATGAATTAGGTGAAGAAACAGATATTGACTTTGATTTTAATGAGCATCCTAATGATCAAAATTCTGTTCTGCTTCCTAAAAATATCCTTCAGTCAACCGCTCATACAGCAGTGGGAGAAGGTATAACACCCCATCAACATACAGCATTGATTAGTAGTGTTATTGTTATGTCTGGTGGTTCTGTAGCAAACTTTAATTGTTCTAAATCCACATCTTATAGAGCTGCGGAGAACATAATATCTGCCAGGGCAAAAGAAATAAGAGAATACATAAAAAACATTGTAATATTATCAGATTCACTAATGACTATACACTTTGACGGAAAAATAGTTAATGAACTAACAGAGAGAAAGCAATTTAAAAAAGATAGAATTGCAGTTTTGCTAAAAATTGATAAAAAAACAGAACTACTTGGCATTCCTCCAATAGATTCTAGTTCAGGGGTTAATCAAAAGCAAGCTATAGTGGAATTGATGGAGTATTTTGGATTAAAAGATAAGGTCAAATGTCTCTGTTTCGACACAACTTCAGCAAATACAGGAAGATGGCAAGGTACTTGCATGAAATTAATTCAACAAGTTCAACGTCCATTGTTGTTGATTGCATGTCGACATCATGTAATTGAACGACACATAGCCCATTTCTGGAAGATTTACCCAAGCAGCGAAACTTCTGGTCCAGAAAACAAACTATTTGAAGTTTTAAAACAAAACTGGAACAGTATAGATGCTGAAACTAAGGAACTGAAAAGAATAATAATACCACCTGGAACATGGATATATAATCAAAAATTAGCTGCTGTTCAGTTTTGTAATAATGTGATCAGTTTGAAGATCTTCAAAAAGGTGATATTCTTATTTTTATTAATTTGATTCCTATTCTAACTTTCTAACTTTTAAAAAGTAACATTTATTACTAATTTAAAAGGTATCAAAAACATTTTAGGACAGAAATATAAGAAAAGAATACCACGAGCTAGCTGAACTTACTTTAATGGTTTTATCATCAAATAGATTTAAATTTCATTTACCGGGACCAATTCACCATTCAAGATTTATGGGAAAAGGTTTATACTATTTAAAGTTGTATCTTTTAATGAATGAAATCCAAAACCTAACTGACAAACATAAGGAAGAAATAACTGGTATGGCTTTGTTCATAAGCCTTTTCTATACAGAGTGGTTTCTAAAAGCAGAGTTAAGTTCTTTGGCACCAACACAGGTATACAGCCTTTTAATATTTTATTAATAAGTTAGAAAGCTCAATATTGGTTAAAGTGATTCAAAATGTTAATTAATGTTATTTATTAGGATATAAAAGCTTATTGGCAAATGAAAAGGTTTGAGGAATGGAATCTACTTGGCTCTCGAGCTGTTGCTAACTCTATTCTCAGACATACTTGGTATCTGGATCCAACTTTAGTAGTTTTTGCCCTTGCAAATAAAGAATGTAGGGAACGTGGTGATATGGCCAAAAAACTATATAGTTTACAAAGATGTCCAAGTGAAAGTTTTCCTTTGGAACGCCAGGTAATGGACCAAGCTATATTGAATAGCCTCAACTTCAGTAAAGATGAGCCCCCTAGTTTGACTCCACTAGTAACAGAAAAGTCGTGGCTTGTTTTTGACATGCTTAGGCATGGAAAAGCAGAAACTCAATGGATGAAGACTCCACCAGAAGTTTGGAAATTTAATGATTATTATCTAGAATTTAGAGCAACAGTTAAGGGACTTGATGTTGTTAATGACTGCTCTGAGAGGGCAGTTAAGTTAGTTCAAGACCTAATAAACAGAGCATATTCTGAGGAGAAAAAGCAGGACACATTTCTATTTACAAATAGTTATAAGAAAAACAGAAAAGGCAGGAAAAAAACAGATTACGAAAAAGCCGCAAATAAAGACTAGTTTCATTTTTTTGTTTATAACAATTTTTCAAGAAAGAATAGAGAGGATCATAACTTCACTAGGATTTCTGTATTTTAATATAAAAGAAACTTTACTACTGATTTAAAATCTTTTACAGTTTTATACTTTTAATTTTTTTTAAGTTTGAGAACAAACCGTATGGTTTTAACTGTTGATTACAAAAAATCTTCATTCCCTGTCCAGGCCCTCCCTTTAATATATTTCTCAAAGTAACCCCTGAAACTGATATAAATGAGAAATCAATATAGTACTGTATTAAAAGTAAATAAAAACATAATGTAATTTTTAGGTTTTAAATATAATTTTAAAATATTTTGTACTTTTATAAGCTTTACTAAATATTTATGAATTTTAGGGTTTTTTGAAGCAATTTTTATAAATTTTTTTATATTTTTTTGAGAATAGAGCCCATGTTATTTGGATTAAATAAGTCTTTACAAACATAAATATATATTAAAAAAAAAAAAATTAATGTCAAGACTTCCTACAAACAGTTTTAAAAATGGTACGAAATGCCCTAAAAATTGCCCCTTTTACCCCCTAAAGGAACCCTGAGAGTTTTCAAAAAAAAAAAAAATTTTAGTACTAAATCATGGTCTGGGCAGATGATAAGCTAGGGCTCTTTTTTTTTTTCAGACATGACCTATTTTTGAAACACCCTAATATATATATATATATATATATATATATATATATATATATATATATATATATAT